GAAATGTCCAACATACTGGCTGGGTGCAGTGGCTCATGACTGTAATCTCAGAACTGTGGGAGACTGAGGCAGGTGGATCACCTGAGGTCAGGGGTTCGAGACCCGGCTGGCCAACATGGTGAAACATGTCTACTAAAAATACAAAACTTAGCCAGGCATGGCAGCACATCCCTGTAATCCCAGCTACTTGGGAGGCTGAAGCAGGAGATTCACTTGAGCCCGGGAGGTGGAGATTGCAGTGAGCCGAGATCACTCCATTGCACTCCAGCCTGGGCAACAAGAGCAAAACTCCGTCTAAAAAAAAAAAAAAAAAACAGACGAAGAAGAAAAGAAAATTCCAATATACCAACAGCCCCAGGTCCATATTTCCTTATTTCCTTTCCCTTTTTTTTTAAAATTGCATTTTAGGTTTTGGGGTACATGTGAAGAACATGCAAGGTTGTCGCATAGATACACACATGGCAGTGTAATGTGCTGCCTTCCTCCTCATCACCTATATCTGGCATTTCTCCTAACAGTACCACAGACAAGAGACGTTCCCTACTTAAGAAATTACTTTCCAACACTGCACCTCAGCTTCCTTCCCTACAAGGGGCAAACATTTTTAACCCAGAGGATATCGTGTTAAATAAAATGTGTCAAGGGACAGCACTTGGGTTGAAGGACCTATTTAATTGTTATGGCAGGCACAGTGGCTCACAACTGTAATCCCAGTGCCTTGAAAACTCAAGGCAGGAGATGACTTGAGACCAGGAGTTTGACACCAGCCTGGGCAATATAGTAAGACCCCAGTCTCTACTAAATATTTTTTTTTAAATTGGCTGGGTGCAGTGGTTCATGCCTGTAATCCTAGCACTGTGGGAGGTCGAGGTGGGCAGATCACAAGGTCAGGAGTTCAAGACCAGCCTAGCCAACATGGTGAAAGCCCATCTCTACTAAAAATACAAAAATTAGCTGGGCATGGTGGTGGGTGCCTGTAATCCCAGCTACTCTGGAGGCTGAGGCAGGAGAATCACTTGAACCTGGGAGGTGGAAGTTGCAGGGTGCTGAGACTGCACCATTCCACTCCAGCCTGGGTGACAGAGCAAGACTCCATCTCAAAAAATAAATAAATAAATAAATAAATATGAATTAGCTAGGGCCAGGCATAGTGGCTCACACCTGTAATCCCATCACTTTGGGAGGCTGAGGCAGGCGGATTACCTGAGGACAGGAATTTGAGACCAGCCTGGCCAATGTGGTGGAAACCTCATTTCTACTAAAAATACAAAAATTAGTCAGGTGTGGTGGCAGGCACCCATAATCCCAGCTACCCAGGAGGCTGAGGCAGGAGAATCGCTGGAACCAAGGAGGCAGAGGCTGCAGCGAGCCGCGATTGTACCATTGCACTCCAGCCTGGATGACAGCGCTGGACTCCATCTCAATAAAAAAAAATTTAGCCAGGTGTAGTGCTGCACGCCTGTGGTCCATAGCTACTGAGGAGGCTGAATGACAGAGTAAGCGCCCATCTCAAAAAACAGCAACAACATACATATGAGTTGCTCACCTTTACCGTTTGGCTCTTTAAAAAAGCCACTCTAACCCCCTCTGAAATATCTGTAAGAACAGTGGAAAAATGGCCTATCCCCATGGCAAATTCTATACCCCTTAAAAGGGGTATCTTCGGGGCTACCTGAGATATATTATACCAGTTAATGCTGAGCATTTCCAAATTTATAAAAAGAGCAGGTCACTAAAGCGTGCACCCAACAGGCTTTTAAATATGTGAACATAGACCCTGCTCAGAGAAACAGATGAAGAGCGTACCGCACCGCTGGGTGAGGACTGACTTTTCTGTTTTGTGTTCACTGTGCTCTCTGGATTTTCCTACTGTTACATAGTGAATGTGTCTTGGTTTCATAAGTAGGAAAAAAAAAAAAAGGTGCAGGACATTTTTAGAGATGACAAGGGGCTTTTTGTAATTTTCACTTGGCAAAATGTAGAGAGCACAACCAAAGGGACAGAAGGAACCCAAGTGATGGAAGAAGAACATCTTATTAGAAGTAACAAAAATGATCATGACCACAGCAAAAACCAATCATAGTAACACTTGACATTTTCAGTGTCTACTTAACACATAGCAGAAGTGTGTTAAGTGCTTTCTCTTTAGCATAACCCACTCCATGAGGCTGGCACTAATTTTTTTTTAAACAGATAGGGTCTCACTCTGTCACCCAGGCCGGAGAACAGTGGCACAATCATAGCTCACTGCAGCCTCCCACTCTTGGGCTCAAGTTATCCTCCTGCCTCAGCCTCCCTGAGTAGCTGGAACTACAGGTATGTGCCACTGCACCTGGCTGATTTATTTTTGTAGAGATGGGGAATCGTTGTGTTGCCCAGGCCACTCCCAAACTCCTGGCCTTAAGTGATCCACCTGCCTCAGATTCCCAAAATGCTGGGATTACAAGCATCAGCCACCATACCCGACTCCCAAAAGGCTGGTACTATTCTTTTTTTTTGAGGAGTCATCTCACACCGTTACCTGGGCTGGAGTGCAGTGGTACGATCTCAGCTCACTGCAATCTCCGCCTCCCAGGTTCAAGTGATTCTCCTGCCTCAGCCTCCAGAGTAGCTGGGATTATAGGCACCTGCCACCATGCCCAGCTAATTTTTTGTATTTTTAGTAGAGAAGGGGTTTCACTATGTTGGCCATGGTCTCGAACTCCTGACCACGTGATATGGGATTACAGGTGTGAGCCACCGTGCCTAGCTGAGGCTGGTACTATTCTTGCATCCATTATATGGAAAAGGATGAAAAAGCCTTAGAGACATGAGGTAACTTGCTCAAGAGTGAGCAAGCCCATTCAGAGACAAGAGACAGACATAGGCTGGTTGGATGACCTCTGCACACCCGTCTGGCATCACCGGGTCTCAATGTCCTTGTCCAGGAGAACTGACCCAACCCCACCAGTGATCTGGGCCTCACTACATCACACTCCAAGTCCCGGTCCTGTAGTCTAGGCAGTCCCACAGAACTCTCTATAATGGGAACATCCAACAGAAATTTCTATGATAATGGGAACGTTCTGACTTATGCCACCCAATACACAAGCCACTAGCCATAGGCAGCCATTGAGCACTTCATCCAGGGCCAATACAACAGAAGAAACACCTTTTTATTATTTATTTTATGTATTTATTTTGAAATGGAGTTTCATTCTTGTTGCCCACCCTGGAGTACAATGGCCCAATCTCGGCTCACTGCAATCTCTGCCTCCCGGGTTCAAGTGAGTCTCCTGCCTCAGCCTTCCAAGTAGCTGAGTTGACAGGCACATGCTACCATGCTTGGCTAATTTTTGTATTTTAGTAGAGATGGGTTTCACCATATTGGCCTCAAACTGGGCTCAAACTCCTGACCTTGTGATCCACCCGCCTCAGCCTTCCAAAGTGCTGGGATTACAGGTGTGAGCCGTTGCACCCAGACAATTAATTTTTTAATGTTTCTTTCTTTTCTTTTCTTTTTTTTTTTTTTTTTTGAGATGGTGTTTCTCTCTTGTTGCCCAGGCTGGAGTGCAATGGTGCAATGTCAGATCACTGCAACCTGTGCCTCCCAGGTTCAGGTAATTCTCCTGCCTCAACCTCCTGAGTAGCTAGGATTACAGGTATGTCCTATCATGCCTGGCCAATTTTTGTATTTTTAGTAGAGACAGGTTTCACCATGTTGGCTAGGCTGGTCTTGAACTCCTGACCTCAAGTAATCCACCTGCCTTGGCCTCCCTGAGTGCTGGATTACAGGTGTGAGCCACTGCACCCGGCCTAATGCTTATTTTTAATTAATTCAAATCTAAATGGAGTTAGCCATGAGTGGCCAGGGGTTACCATATTGTGCCATCTCTAGTCCACTCTGATCTGCAAGTCGCCCTGTAGGAGTCCCAGGACTGATCTGACCATTCCTCTCTGTGACAAGGAAGGCCTCCCTAAAACCTAGCTACTTTTTTTTTTTTTTTAAGACAGAGTCTTGCTTTGTCACCCAGGCACAAGATTGTGCAGTGGCACAATCTTGGCTCACTGCAACCTCCCCCTCCTGGGTTCAAGCGATTCTCCTGCCTCAGCCTTCTGAGAAGCTGGGATTACAGGCACATGCCACCACACCCAGCTAATTTTTGTGTTTTTAGGAGAGACAGGATTTCACCATGTTGGCCAAGCTGGTCTCGAACTCCTGACCTCAGGTGATCTGCCTGCCTTGGCCTCCCAAAGTGCTGAGATTATAGGCATGAGCCACTGTGCCTGGACAACCTAGCCACATTTGCATGTCTCCTACCCATCTCGCTACCAAGAAAAACCAGTCTTTCTAAAGCGGTTATGAGCTCTTCTTTATTTTCAAGAGGAAGGAAGGACAGAGAATAGTATCAATGAAATCTGTTGAGAGTTTATCATACATCTTGGCACTTGGCATATGTGATGACGTGAGATGGCACACATCCTGTCTACAGGAAGGTGATTATTCCCATTTTACTGATAGGAAAACTGAGGCTTCAAGAGGGGAAATGACCTCAAGGAATAAGATGTGAACCCACGTTGGAATGATTCTGCTTCATGATGCAGTCTCCCTCCATCAACCCTTCAGCCTTCCTAACACATTCCCCCCACGCTTTTTTTTTTCTTGAGACAGAGTCTTGTTCTGTCACCCAGGCTGGAGTGCAGTGGTGTGATCTCAGTTCACTACAACCTCTGCCTCCTGGGTTCAAGCAATTCTTCTGCCCCAGCCTCCCCAGTAGCTGGGATTACAGGTGCACACTACCACACTCGGCTAATTTTTGTATCTTTAGCAGAGACAGGGTTTCAGCATGTTGGCAAGGCTGGCCTGCAACTCCGGACCTCAGGTGCTCTGCCCACCTTGGCCTCCCAAAGTTCTGGGATGACAGGCATGAGCCACTGCACCCCGCCCTCCCAATACATTTCTAATGCCTGTGCTCCTTGTGAGGCCCGGACGAGGTACCTGGCCGCCCCGCAATACTCACATATATTAGCCCTGAGAAGTACCGCTCTCTCAGGTTGTGTAGTACAGAAGCTTCGTTGAGGCACGTCAGCTCCGCCATGTCCTCCACCTTGGAGAACTTGGGTGGGTTCATCTTCTGGATGTCATCTTTCCCCACCGTGACCTTCTTGCCATTCTCCACGAGCTCCACAATCACCTCATCCCCCTTCTCCTCCTTGATACTGGCCGCCTCGAAGCCCTGCTTCTCCGAGGGGACCCAGACAAGTTTCTTGGCGGCCCAGTCGGCCTGGGCCACGGGGCTGTTGATGAAGTTTTTGTCCACAAAGAGGAACTTCTCATCGTCACTGAGTTGGCCCTTCTGTGCCATGGTGCCTGGTTGGTCCCCTGTGGAATAAGGTGACAGAGTCATAATCAGGCCAGAACGAAGCCCCAAAGACAGCTCAGTCACTCACCTTGCCCCATCTAGGTACTGAGTCTGCAGAAACATCTCACAAAGACGTTCTCTGCAGTATTGTTTATGCGCAAAGAACAGAGGCCACCCAACGGCCCTTCAGAAAGGGATGTGTGTCATTGCCTAGAGCACCAAAAGTCAAGAAATGACCCAAATGTCCAAAATAGAGCTGGATACATAAGCCATGCTATTTCCATACAGTGAAATACTACCCAGTGGTTAACAAGCAGGAAGTAGGGCTGAGCATGGTGGCTCACGCCTGTAATCCCAACACTGTGGGAGGCCAAGGTGAGTGAATCACTTGACGCCAGGAGTTCGAGGCCGTCCTGGCCAACATGGTGAAACCCAGTCTCTACTAAAAATATCAAAATTAGCCAGGTGGTGGCGTGCACCTGTAATCCCAGGCACTTGGGAAGCTGATACAGGAGAATCGCTTGAACCCGGGAGGCAGAGGTTGCAGTGAGCCAAGGTAGTGCCACTGTACTCCAGTCTGGGTGACAGAGCAAGATTCCACATCAAAAAAGAAAGAAAGAAAGAAAGAAAGAAAGAAAGAAAGAAAGAAAGAAAGAAAGAAAGAAAGAAAGAAAGAAAGAAAGAAAGCAGCAGCAGGAAGTATGTCTACACGTGCTGATGTGGGAAGATGGTCTAGTCTAATTGTTCATTGCAAAGCAAGACTCCTCAAATGTTTAAACATAGAATTACCCTGATTGCTTGAGCCCAGAAGTTAGAGACCAGCCTGGGCAAGGTGGCAAACCCTGTCTCTACAAAAAAATACAAAAAGTTAGCCAGGCATGGTATCGCACACCTGTAGTCCCAGCTATTTGGGACACTGAGGTGGGAGAATCACCTGAGCCTGGGAGGCCAAGGGTGCAGTGAGCCTAGATCACCCCACTATACTCCCGTCTGGGTGACAGAGTGAGACTCTGTCTTAAAAACAAACAAAAAACCCAATGCATATCTATAGAATACAACTCAGTAAAAGGAGAGAAATGATGTAATAAAATAGCTAAATCTCAAAAGCTTCATGCTCAGTGAAAGGAACCAGACTCCAGAGGCCACAGGCTGAATTATTCCTTTGATACAGAAAGCTATTAGGCTAGTACAAAAGTAACTGCGATTATTGCCATTGAAAGTAATGGCGACTGGGTGCAATGGCTCATGCCTATAATCCCAGCATCTTGGGAGGCCGAGGTGGGTGGATCACCTGAGGTCAGGAGTTCAAGATCAGCCTGGGCAACATGGTAAGACCGACCCCCATCTCTACTAAAAATACAAATATTAGTGGGGCATGGTGGCATGCACCTGTAGTCCCAGCTACTCAGGAGGCTGAGGCGAGAGAATCCCTTGAACTAAAGAAGTGGAGGTTACAGTGAGCTGAAATCACACCATTATACTCCAGCCTGGGTGACAGAGCCAGACTCCGTCTCAAAACAAACAAACAAAACAAAACAAAACAAAAAAATGACAAGAAAGTATTGGCAAAATAGAAAAGGCGTACCTACAGTGACAGGCAATCAAGAGCCTCCAATGGAGGTCGTGCGTGGTGGCTCAACCTATGATCCCAGCACTTTGGGAGGCTGAGCCAGCCGGATCACTCGAGGTCAGGAGTTCAAAATCAGCCTGACCAATGTGGTAAAACCCCGTCTCTACTAATAATACAAAAATTAGCCGGGCATGGTGGTGCATGACTGTAATCCCAGCTACCCAAGAAGCTGAGGCAGGAGAATCGCTTGAACCTGGGAGGCAGAGGTTGCAGTGAGCCAAGACTGCACCACCGCACTCCAGCCTGGGCTCCAGAAAGAGACCCTCTCTCAAAAAAATAAAAAAAGAATTGCTAGTGCAAGGAAAGGAACTGACTGGTAAGAGGCACGAAAGGTGTGTCAGGGTGATTAAAGCATTCCATGTGGTAACGGTGGTGCTTACAAGACTGTATACATTTCTCAAAACTCATTAAGAATATTCTGTACCCCTCTAAGATGACTAAAGCGAACGATAACGTATTACAGAGTTTCAAAGAGCTAGAAAGAGACACTGAATGTTCCCAACACAATGAGATGGTAAATGTCATCAGAGAGGAAGTAGCAAAATAAATAAATAAATAAAAGAAACGGTAAATGTTTGAGATTATGGATATGCTAATTACCCTCATCTTATCTCCCCATATATTTTAATGTATTAATATCAAAACATTACTAAGAGCTAGGCACAGTGGCTCACACCTGTAATCCCAGTACTTTGGGAAGCTGACACAGGAGGATCCCTTGAGGCCAAGAGTTCAAGACCAACCTGGGCAACATAAGGAGACCGTCCCTATACAAAAAATTAAAAATTAGCTGGGCATGGTGGCACATGCCTATGGTTCCAGCTACTCAGGAGGCTGAGGTGGAAAGATGGCTCGAGACCAGGAGGTAGAGGCTGCAGTGAGTGGTGATCACACCACAGCACTCCAGCCTGAGTGTTAGAGCAAGACCCTGTCTAAAAAAAAAAAAAAAAAAAAAAAAAACTACGACCCCCATGAACATGTATGATCATTTGTCAATTAAGAAATAAATTTTTAGCTGGGTGTGGTGGCTCATGCCTGTAATTCCAGCACTTTGGGAGGCTAAAGGGGGCAAATCACAAGGTCAGGAGTTCAAGACCAGCCTGGCCAATATTGTGAAACCCTGTCTCTACTAAAAATACAAAAATTAGTTGGGCGTGGTGGCAGATACCTACAATCCCAGCTGCTTGAGAAGCTGAGGCAGGAGAATTTCTTCAACCCAGGAGGTGGAGGTTGCAGTGAGCCAAGATGGCACCACTGCACTCCAGCCTGGTGACAGAGACTCTGTCTCAAACAAAAAAAAAAAAAAAGAAAGAAATTTTTTAAGTTGAAAAAACTCACTCAAGCTGTATACTTAAAAAAAAACCTTGAATTTAAGTTGGTGAATTTAATTTTATGTAAACTATACCTCAATAAAGTTTATTTAAATATTTATAATAAAATATTTCTCCTCATTTTATATGTTTGTGTGTACATTTCTAAAAGTCTAGAGAGTTTCATACTAAAATATTATACCAGGGTTCTAGCTGGTCAAATATGAGACAGTTTGAATATCAACAAGAAAAATAATTATATTTCCATCACCCCAACACCCCAAAAAGGGTTGAAAGACAAATACATTTAAATCGTATGTTTAAAATGATCTTGTTGTTGTTGTTTAGGATGGAGTCTTGCTCTTTTGCCAGGCTGGAGTACAATCACCCAACCCCTGCCTCCCAGGTTCAAGCGATTCTCCTGCCTCAGCCTCCTGAGCAACTGGGATTACAGGTGCCTGCCACCACATCCAGCTAATTATTCTATTTTTAGTAGAGATGGAGATTCACCAAGTTGACCAGGCTGGTCTCAAACTCCTGACCTCAAGTGATCCACCAGCCTTGGCCTACCGAAGTGCTGGGATTACAGGGGTGAGCCACTACACCCAGCCCCAAATGCATTATTTTTATAAGTGGCTCAGAAAGTTGGGGTGGGGTATATGATATAAAAATCTTGATTCTACCACTTCCATACAAAGTGTTCCTCAGGATAACTAAACTGAAAAGGAGAAGTCTCTCTTGATGGAAGATTAAGTCATCAAATGTTGTCTCTACATGGGAAGACCATTGGTGGTGGGTCCTTGTTACCCGTCCTGTTATCCAGATGCGTTAATGAGGAGAGAGACAGACGACATGCTCTATAGGCCCATCCAACCTCCTGTTCCCGACTCTGACCACAACTGCAGGAGCAGACCCTCCCACCTGCCTCTGCTGGAGCCCAAAGAACTGAGTTGCTGGCTAAGTGAGGACATACAGCCACCAGGATCTATGTGTGGCTGACATCTTTCCTCCAGCAGAGAATTCACAACTCCTTTGAATTCACTGATCAGTCCCACACTTGGTCCCCAAATCCCACAGAGACGTAAAGACCCATGTCCTACTATTGGACCCCAGAGCTGAGTAGCCAACACCTGAAACCCAACCTCCTGGGTGATGCAGGTTTTTGCAAGACACAGTGGGAATGACAGATATTCCAATACCTATTCTTTTTCTATCAGGGCTGAACGTAGTAATATGTTAACTAATTTAAAAAATCTGGGCCGGGCACGGTGGCTCACGCCTATAATTCCAGCATTTTGGGAGGCCGAGGCAGGGGGATCATGAGGTCAAGAGATCGAGACCATCCTGGTCAACATGGTGAAACCCCGTCTCTATTAAAAATACAAAAATTAGCTGGGCGTGGTGGTACGCGCCTGTAGTCCCAGCTACTCAGGAGGCTGAGGCAGGAGAATTGCTTGAACCCAGGAGGTGGAGGTTGCGGTGAGCCGAGATCGTGCCATTGCACTCCAGTCTGGATAACAGCAGCAAAACTCCATCTCAAAAAAAAATCTGCAGCTGGGCATGGTGGCTCATGCCTGTAATCCCAGCACTTTGGGAGGCCAAGGAATGGAGATCACCTGAGGTCAGGGGTTCGAGACCAGCCTGGGCAACGTGGTGAAACCCTGTCTCTACTAAAAATTTAAAAAAGTAGCCAGGCATGGTGGCAGGCACCTGTAATTCCAGGTACTCAGGAGGCTGAGGCAGAAGAATCACTTGAACCCGGGAGGTGGAGGTTGCAGTGAGCCAAGATCGAGCCATTGCACTCCAGCCTGGGCAGTGAGAGTGAAACTCGGTCTCAAACAAACAAACAAACCTGGAAGCTGATTTGCTCAGAGGAGATTTTCTGCTGGGAGATTTGATATAGTAGCTGATGAAATAAAAAATGGTGGCTGGGCATGGTGGCTCATACCTGTCATCCTAGGACTTTGGGGAACAGAGGCAGGAAGGCTGCTCGAGGTCTAGAGCTCTAGACCAGCCTGGCCAACATGGTAAAACCTTGTCTCTGCTAAAAACACAAAAATATTAGCCGAGTGTGGTGCTG